TTAGATGCAGTATCAAATCCATAACAAGGACATACATAGTCTTCTCTAGTACTCCACCTAGATAAATTGGTTTATACAGGGAAGTCATTAATGGTCCAAATTAATGTTACACGTAATTGAAAGTTTAAATTTTTTAAGGCATCAAAAGTTTGAACACCAACTTCCCAAAGTTCTTGTAACTTTTATACCATAGGTTATAGGTATATATCTATATTGTTTCCTAAACCTTTTAGACCAAGAATAAGCAAGGAAAGAATAAAGTTTAGCTATTTCATGTACATCCATAGTAGCAAGTTATAAGGTATCAATATAACAGGCCAAGTGCTATGTGTCACACTTACAGTTTTGAAAGGGTTAAAGCCATCAGAAGCCAATCCCAATTAAATATTACGAGAGTCAAAAGAAAACTCAAGATATCAAAAATCTAATTTTTTTCAAGCTAGAGAATCTTTAGGATGTCTTACATGTCTATCCTTAGTATGCTCATATTCATGCCAAGTCATCAAGGGAGTAGTTTTTGAAGACATGAATAACTTTGGTAGTCTTGGAATTAAAGAAAACCAATGCAAAATCTTAACAATTTTTTTTCTAACACTATATCTTGGGGATCACTTTGTACATCATTCAAGCTCTTTTTTCACCTAGAAGTGCCACATTTTGAACATATATCTTCATTTGCCTTATCCTTTCAAAATAATATGCAATCATTGTGACAAGTATGGATTTTTTTCATATGTCAAACTGAAGGTGGAAATCATCTTTTTCAATTCTTGATAAGATCCTAGCAATGTATTACCTTCTGGTAAAACAAGTTTCAAAACCTTTAACAATGTAGTGAAAGATTTATTTGTCCAACTATTAAAACACTTAATATGGAACAAATAGTTACAAAGGAAACCTTTGTAAAGTTTTTACAATTTGATATAGTTTTTCTTCATCTTTAAGTAAATCATAAAACTTGCACTATCAATTCTATGACCATGGTGTTGCTCTCCACTAGTATCTCCAGTTTGTATGTTACCCACATCAACATTCATAGCTCTTTCAACCATCATATCATGTAATAAATCATGAATATCAGGACCAGCTCTTTTTCTTCCTCATTAGTTGTTGCAATAGGTAAAGATGCATCCAAGATCTCTCCGTGAAATACCCATCAAACATATCCTTTGAGAAAATAATCATATATTATGTGATCAATTACATCTTTCTTACAAACTCTAAATGTGTTGACACATTTAACACAAGGGCACCAAAATTTTTATCGTCAAATGATCTTGCAAAGGCAAAGTCTAAAAAACTAGTAACTCCTTTTATGTATTCTTTATTGGCTCTTGACATTAGATTTATCCATATCTTATCCATAGAATGTAAAATGATTTGCCCTAGTAATAAAATTATATTTAATTATTCGAAATGTATCATCTCTTAAAAAACTCAAAAACTAAAGTAAACTTAACAATAGCAATGAAAGTTATTTAAAAAAAGTCAACTTAATTATTAGTAAATAATTTATTTTATACATACAACCAATCAAAGTTATCTAAATATCAAAGTTACTTGTTTTATAAGTCTACCTTTATGTCCCAATAGAAAAGACAACCATAAAAGCAAAGAGTTTCCAAAGAATAATAATAATACATAATGAAGTAAAAAACTAGGATGAAAGGAAAGTACAACATTATGCATCTAAATGACAAAAAAAATAGTTAATGTAATAATAATAAATATTCACAATTGAATATATCGTCTTTTACCAAAAGGATTCTAAAGAAAAGCAATCATTGAACTCAAAATACTATGCGAATGTAAACCTAAAAAATCAATTTCATAATAATCAATAACAATTTTAAAAACCAATAGCATTTAAAACTTAAAGGATCATATTATGTCATTAATTTGAAAACTTCAATTAAAACAATAGCATTTAATTTAAACACTAAATAAAATTAGACTTTATAAGCATAATGTCATATTTTCATTAAGAATAATATTTCGGACGTACTTTTATAATTAAACTTATGTGTTTTCAGGAGAAGCATAACCAATGAAATAGGCAATTTAACTAAAGGTTGCTTTGCATCTTGTACAAGCTCTAGAATACTACCTAAAAAATATAACTAGTTTTAGAAAATGTCTGACATGTTTCGTGGTTTTAATGTATCTAATTTTGTGTTTGAATTTATATAAATACATAATGTCGAAAATAGACTTGTTCCAAAAAAAAACCAAGGACAACTTTGCTAGTTATTTGTTATTAGTCATCCATGAAAAATTCCAATATGGGTATCAATGGCCTTCTTTCATATAATACCTCTTTGTCAAATATATGGAGTTAAGCTTATAGATCATGATATTGTTTTTGTTTAAGAACTATAGTTTTCATTTTTCTAATTTCCTATAATGGATTAATTATAAAATTAATATAAATAAAAAAATAAGAAGAGGGAAGGAATTTGGAGAGGGATAATTGAAAAAGCTAAGTACCATAAATTATGTAGCCACGTCATGAAAAAAAAGAATCTCATTATGCTACCAAATGCTAGTACCATATATTTAATTGAGAAAACCAACTACAAAAAATTATACAACCACCATATATATAGTATTTGATTACAAATACCGTCACCATGTAAACAATTATATATTTTTATTATATATATTTAATTGAAAAAGTCAAACAATAAACAATTATATATAATCTAAACAATATATAAACAATAAACAATTATATATAATGTAAACAATATATAAATAATTATAAATAATTTAAACAATTATATAAACCTTATTATATTACCAAATGCTGACACAATATATTTAATTGAAAAAGACATCATATATGTAGTATTTGATTACAAATGCCACCACCATATAAATAATTATATATTTTTATTATATATATTTAATTGAAAAAACTAAACAATAAATAATTATATATAATCTAAACAATATGTAAATAATTATACATAATATAAATAATTACATAAATTTTATTATGCTGCCAAATGTTTTATTATATATTTAATTAAAAAAACCATCATATATATAATATTTAATTACAAATGCCACCACCTTAAATCACATTTTTATTATAATCAATTAATTCACTTACTTACAAATGTTGATATATATTTGTCAATAGATAATAGATTTTATATTCAATGAAATTGTAAATTTTTCTTCCTCACTTGACTTTTCAAAAAACCATCAACAAAAAAAAAAAAAAACATTATCTATGGTGATAGAATGAGAATCAAAGATGCTCTCGTAGAACTACATGCAACTAAGGCAAAGTTGCTTTGAACAGGGGTTTAAGAATGGAAAAAGAAAAAAAAAAAGATAAACTTGTTACCGTCACAAGATCAATTACGATTGAATAAGTAAGAGAGAGGTAAAGGATAGAAGAAAAATAGCTCAAAACAAAAACAAGAAAGCTACAGATGTGAAATAGGGTTTCTAATATAAGGTTATTTGGGTTTGGGTTATAGGAAAATAGGAATATTTGAGTAAGGCTGTGAGAGAAAGAGAGATGAGCGGCAAGACAAAGTAAGATGAGGCGAGGACTACAGTGGTGGACGAGATTTTTATCAGACGATGTAAGGACTAAAAAGTGGGAGAGAAAGGATAGGTAAGGACGGTGGGAACAAAATTTTCACTGGTTTTGTTTTAATAAGTTTTGATTTTTTTTAAAGGTTTTCATATAAAAGACGTGGGAGCATAAGGACCAGATTTTAACATATACGCTTTACTGTTTTGTTTAGTTTTAATAAGTTTTCATATAAAAGACATGGGAGCATAAGGCCCAATCTTTTTTAAGTTTTTCTTTGAAAAATGTCAAATTCAAGCTTATGAGAGTTTTTTCTCCTCTATGAAAGCCTCTTAACTCGTGGAAAAAGAAAATTAGAACTTTCTTTTTGTTTCAGGGGCTTGGATCCTTCACTTATAACTCTTCTACTTGCAAGCCTAGAGACTTATGCAACAATGGAATTTTACCACAATCAACTGAAGCTTCGGTTGTTAAATGAGAAGGATCCTGTTGTCTACCAATGCACTGATTGGCTAGTTGATAAATTGGGTACAAAAGTGCATTCCTACTTTTGGCTGGATGAATATTCAGAGAAAGATGATTTTGCATGATACTGGTAGGATGAGTGGGTGAGTGGTTTAACATCTTAGTGGAAGGCATTGAAGATTTCAGATTCTGATATTTCCATAGAAGGGAGATGTACAGAAGTGCCTGACCAGCTTGATCGAGATACAGTTTCTGTTGTTTGGAACCCTGGCTTATAGTATGGGATCTATGCTTGTAATTGGGCAGCAATAGGCTACTTGTGTGAGCATGTGTTCAAGGTTATGAAGTTCTATCGTGAAAAAGGGTCTATTTTGTCATCTGTCACTACATTTCAATACAACAAGGCTTTGATTGACATGTTACATTGCCTGTCTCATGATTCTTTGATCTGTGATTATGCTGTTTCTTTAGCAATCTATGTACAGAAACCGTTAAGTTCACTAATTGCTCCTATTCAGAACAATCAATGGATGCTACTTAAAAAGGAAATGCACCAGTGGTTTTTGCAAATCAAAATAGAGGATTAGTTGCCGAGGATCACTGTGTGAATGGGAACATATTGTCTAATCATGAAAATGGTTATGCTGTTTGCTCTAAGGCTCCTATTGGTATTGCTAGTGATTTGGACAGTGAATCAGTTGATCAAGTATTTGGTATAAATGGCATTTCTGGTGAGAATTCTAGAGAAGGAATATCTGGTTCTGAGATGGATGTTGGCACACCCCCCAGTATTTCTCCACCTAAATTACCATCTCTTTACAAGGAGGTTGTAGCTGGTAATGTCTTTTTTGAGCGAGGAGAGAGTGCTTTGTTTAACATAGTCACTAATATGAATTGCAAATTACATAGTCACTAATATGAATTGCAAATTACCTCCCAAAGATTATGCTTTAAAAGTTCAAAATGGATGCCAAGAAAAAATCTTTTAACAAATATTGTCATGAAAGAATGATTGCTGCAAAGATACAACCAGATGAGATTCCTCAAACAAGATAGTTTTCAAAACCATGCACAGCAACTCATCACGATGGTTTGGGCAGCAAGCTAGTGAACCTTCATTAGCGTCCATGTCCACTCCTGAAAAAGCCTCCTTATCCATGTCTTGTTCTGTCGAGCCACAAGTGCTTTTGGCTGAAGCCTCAAGTGCTCTGAATCTGAATGTATCAATGGCATTAGAAAATGAGAATGAGATTAATAGCAAGAATCATTCTTCTGATATTGCTTTCCCATCAGATGGCCATAATGTTAATTTGGGAATTGTTGCTTATCTTGATGATGAATCCAAGGCAGTTGATAGTAGTGTGGCTGAATGCTCAGAAACATTCCAAAATCATTCAACAATGTTGCATCATGGTGACGTTCAACTACCTATTGAAGTTGCAGCTCAAGAAACTAATGATTCTGGCGAAAAGGAACTTAGCAACAAACCTTATACAACTAAATCTGAACTTAAAAAGGAGATGTGCGAACAGGTGAGGAATGATCAAAATGGTGCTCTTGCTATGAAAATTGTTTCAGAAGAGGCTGCTAACAACTCTGCATTCAGTGCTGGCCCTGACAAACAATATACAGGTGCTAACTAATTTCATCATTCAGCTATTTCTTATTTCTTTGTACATGCTCCTCAATTAATTTAATTGTAATTTTGTGATTCTGCCAGTCGCACTAAATTTTAGTAGTATAATTAGCCAACAAATTAGCTCGCATTATACATGTAGATTTTCATTTTCTTGCTAAATGTGGATCATTTGTAACTATTAAGAAGCTATTTATAATACATGTTCAAAATTTTACAGTCCAATGTTGTAGGCTCTTGGGCATTTATGCGCATAGCAGGTTTTCCATTCAGACTAGTTGAAGCAATTTAACTATAGGCCACCCAGAGATCAAGGCTCCTGCTAAATACATTTCACTTGTGGTAAGCATCCTCCACATCCTTAACCCAATAACTAAGCATGAATACAATAACGAAAAACACCTAAAATGCAACCAATGCCATTTTGTACATCCTTTTCCTAACATTATGATTATATTTTTTATTCTTAAGCTTGAAATGCTCTCTTCTTTCATTGTTGCAGGTTTCAAAGATAGAAGAAAAAATGGATTTGTCATACATATATATCATTCTTTTAAATAAAAATATTATTTTATAAAAAAAACTTTTACAAATAACATAGAAAAATATTTATATAAACATAAATACTACTATGTAGATTATTTATAATTTGACTTTCAATCTATAATGATTTTAAAATTTTATGAAATCATATTAAAACTGAAATATTAATTGAAACCAAATAAATATAATATTTAAATTAAAAAAAATTAGTCTAATATTTAATTATAAATTTATTAATTAATATAATACTTACAAATTTTATTTAGAACTTATTATCATTTAAAATTAATTAAGTTACAAATTTTATTTATTAATAATTATAGTTTTTAACAAATTATAGTTTTTGGAAATTTATATCAGAGGGAAATATTATGAATTGATAATTTTCAAAAAAGAAATTAGGGATAAATATTTTTTTGGAGCTTATACTAATAGTTATTATAACAGTCAGTATATAACATATTTATACTAATGGATATTTATATACCGTCGAAAAAGTTTACCTATACCAACAATTATATAAAGTGTTGGTATATGTACTATCTATATTGACAATAATAAAAATTCGTCAATATAGATATTTTTTACTTACATAATTTGATCGTCAGTATAAATAAGTGTTAATATATAGGACACTTATATATTATTAGAAAAAATTTATCTATACTGACAGTTATATAAAGTGTTGATAAAAATATGATATATTCTTACGATATTAAAAAATTATCAGTATAAATCTCTTTTACTGACCTAATTTGATCGTCAGTATAAACAAGCATTAGTATATAAAAAATTTCTTGTAGTGTGTCTACCTGTTTCTGTAAAGCAAGTAGATATTAATGGAGCAACAGCTTATGCTGTTTCTGGTTTGTTTTTATTTATTTATTTACCTTTTATTTTCTATCAAATATAACGTTGAGCAGCAATATTAATTATATAAATGCTTTAGAAATTTGATCATGAGCGTTTCTGAAGTTTACATTACCATGTTCAGTTTACCTTGATGTTATTGAAAGATGTTAGTCAATTTTTAGAGAATTTCAATACTTGTTAGTCAATTTTTAGAGAATTCAATACTTGAAGTCCTTTTCAGGAACTCCAGCTGATTGTACTTCTTTGGGCATCTCAAAAGCACCCTTCCCCTCGGTTCCCGATCTGGTACTAATCTGGCTGTATGCACTTATATTGTTATAGAAGTGCGGGTATTAGATTTATATGATACTGTAGATCATGTTGTCCATGGTTTTGCATATTGAGTGCAATGGCGAACTCTACGTAACACATTCCTTTTTGAGACACTGTGGGCAAATTCCGTTCAGGTATGTTTTACATAGAATCTTATCTTATATGTTGGCAGTTTTATTGTTTTTTTTTTTTAATTATTATTATTGAATAAATGCATGAAAAAGATTTTTTTTCCCCCAGTCCTTGAAGGAAGCCTAAACAATATTTGCTTCATTATTGGATCGTAAATTAGAGATTCCACAAATACCTCATAGGCGTTCAAAAGTGCTATAGGAATAAATAGTGTATTTTCCTCTTCCTCCACCTTGACATCAACCCTCTTCAACTGATAAATGATACTGTCGAAGTCGTTCATTTGCTTCATAAGGTCTCCACTCTCTTCCATCTTTAAGTGATAAAGTTTTTGCCTGAGTTGTTATTTGTTTGAAAAGCTTTTGGCTAAATAAATCTTTGTTTAACTTTTCTCACAACTCTAGAGCAAATTCCCCGTCAATAATGTGACTAACACATTACACTAACTGCAAAATTGAATAATGCTAACATACCTTGTCTGTAATTCTGCTTATTCATTATCATTGATGTCATTTGGTTGCCCTTTTTCCTTCCCTAGCAAAGGGCACATCAAGTCCTGTTGCACAAGGAGATCTTTCATCCTTCTTTGTCACTGTGTGAAACTAACTTCCCATTGAACTTCTTAATTGTGGAAGTCGCAGATCTAATAACTTTTCACATCTTTTGTTGAATTTTGATCTAATGAACCGAAAGCTTTAATACCACTTATTAAAAAATTACGCAAGAAACAACAAACGAAAAATCACATAGAAATCAAGCAAATACAAGCAGACATAAATTTATGCGATTCGACCACTTGCATATGTCTATGAAGTAAATAATTCTTTTACTATTAAGAAATTATAGTAGAATAAAATCTTTCAATCTCTCTCCATGGTTACTCAAACTAAACCAAAGAACCTTTGTACACCCCCTTTCAATAGTCTTATAAGAACAATTGCTAAAATCTAACTCTGCCTGTAGTTAAAGACAGTCATAAAATGTTTCTTTTTTAACGCTTCCAAAAGAACTATACAATTTTTAAAACTTAGAGAACCACTTTTATAATACTCCATAAAAGTAGCAAATAGACTATTATTAGAATTCGACGTAGATAAGCAGTAAAATCTTGAATTCTTAATAAATTAAAATTCTACGAAACAAAAAGCTAGCTATTCTACAAATCATAGCTGAAGAAATTTTTTTCCGAATTCAGTCATCGGATGATTTATGTGGCAAAATTTTGAGTAGAGAATAGAATCAAACTTCACAAAAGCAAACAGTAAGTAGGTCAATAGCTGTTGAGTTCTCTAGCTTATAAGCATTACTTTGTCAGCTTTGAACAACTTTTGAGCTTATCTTCTTTTGAATCCCCACGAACATTTTACCCAAATATCTCAAGCCAGATACCAATATGATAATCATCAAAGTTCACTGCTCAAAGCTTATAACATCATGTGGAAATGAAACTATATATATATATATATATATATATATATATCATGACCTCAAATTATAAGAATCATGACCTTAATTTTCTTCTCTTTTTATATATCATGGCAAGAAAATTTTGTGAATAAATTTCGGATAAAGAGACGCATAAAATCAAATCTAAAGTTTCTCCGAATTCAGAATTTGTCATGAATATTCATCCGCTTTAAGTCGTGACCAAGTAAAACTGAGGATTTTGGCCTACATGTTCATGTTGGAATCCAAATTTAAAACCGCTTCACATTAAAGGGAAAAAGAAAAAAAAAAAAACATTTGTAGTATGAACTACGAAGCGGACAGAGAAATGGAAATTAGTAGTAGATTAGCAAGCAGGGTAAGGGATAAGCTAATTACCTCGCTAGCTCATTACCTTGTGGACAATCCCGTATGCCCACAATCCACAATTAAATTAAAGAAGCTTTAAAAACAAAACTCATCCATGTTTTCCCACGGCTTTCTTGGGCTTCATACTGAGAATTTGATTTTAACTACCAACACTGTTTATCAATCTTTGGAGGAAAGAGTGAGAGAAGAGAAGAGAAGAGAAGAAAAGTCAGAGTAACAAGTTCAAGAAAGCCGTGGAAAGCATGCAACGAACCCCTTTTTTTCTTCACTGAATTCCATATTCTAGCAGTACTCGAAAATGAAGAATGAAGCAAATTAATGCGAAGAAGACTGAAAGCAATATTTCTCACATAATTAGTTTGATATGGTGTGGTGGAAGAAACAAAGCAAGAAAACAAAGCAAGATAGAAAAATGGCTGGCGAGAGAGAGAAGGGAAGGTAAAAGCAAAGCAAGAAAATAAAATGGTATGCGAGAGAGAAGAAGGAAAGGCAACAAACAATAGAAAAGATAAAGGGGGAATAGGCACGGACTCTGATCAACTGAAAGTGATACCCTTTAGGAGTGCTGTTATCCCGCACGTGCGGCTGACGAGTGGTTTCTCGATACGTGTGAGGCAGAAGGGTGACTGCATGAAGTGGGCCGCGGGGGGGCGAGGATGGCTCCGACACTAGGTTGGGGTGACGTGGTGAGGGCTTTCTACGGCTGGACTTCTTAGCTTAGCTAATAGCTAGCTTCTCCTTCTCCTTGATTGCTTGCTTTGTTTTTGAGCGTATTGTTTTGGGTGTTGTTCGTTACCGATGAGTCAAGAGGAACCGCTTCGCAGCGTCTTCCTCTTATTCTTATTCCGGGCTATGCGCCGTATCGTGCGCTGGTGATTCCTCTCAGCTGGTCTTCCGTGTATACTAAAGTCGCTTTCGCGGAATCTAATTTTTTTTCTAAATTTAATATTTTATTATTTGATTCTTTAATTTGATTTGAAAACACTCTGTCATTAGAAGTCTTGCATTTTTAACATTACGAAAAAAAAAAAGTAGGGAATAAAAAATTTTATCTCCTTAAGTTATTTTAGATTTTAAAAAAAAGTAAATTAATGTTAATTACTTTTAAAATATAATAATTTTTTATAAGATACAATAAAAATAAATTTTTTAATATATTTTACATAAAAATTATCTTTTTAGATTAAAAATACAATTTTTGTTCTTAAAAATGTAAACTCTGTTTAAAATATATTAAAAATTTTATTTTTAAAATTTTATAATTTTAACAAAAAAAACGTTTTTAAAATTAAAATATGGTTTTTATTGAAAATATATTAGAAAAAATTTTATTTGCCCTTAACAATGTTAAATGATCTCACCCATTTTGGTAGCATAAAACTCAAAATCATTTGTTATTCTCTATTCAAGAAGCTATCTTGTTGCATGTTTACAGTTTTTCTCATTTTTAAGTTGCAAAAAATAAAGTGAATTTATATTTCATAATGTAATATGCTTTTATTCTTTTTTAATAATTTTTAACAACTACAAGATCTACAATATAGTTTAATTAAAACTTTATAATAAATTTATTTTTGTATTTTTATAAATTTTATAATATATGGGTAAGTGTTTATTAAAAGAAAATCATTGGCATTTTATTTTTTAAATAAATAAATAAATAGTTAAAATATTTAATAAATATATAAATAATTTATAATTAAAAAATCTATAAAATATTAAATATATAAGTTATCATTATATTTTCATATTTGTCACTTATTATTCTTATGTTATCAATGATAATATAATAAAATATTTTAATAAATAATTTATATTTTTTTAACCAAACACAAAAATTTTATATTTTTTAAAATTACCGAACTTAAAAAATTATCCATTCTTTTTCAATATCACATTCTCTCGAATCATTTTTCTTTAAATTTCACGAAACCAATTGCTCAATAAAAATAACTATTGTCACATCCCGAAACTAAAACGCAATACGATCATATCACCTTGAAGTAAATCTCAAAGTAATATGAAACATTCTTTCTTAATCATTTTAAAATTTTTCAATAAATTGATATAATCTGTTAATTAAAATCCATATATTTAATCTAACTAATGATACATATCTATCTATCCAAATACAAATCATATAAAAATAAAAAATTATTTCATAAGATCTCATTAGTTAACATTGTTTCCGACAACTAAGTATTCTTTTCTATTTGATCTTCTAACTTTTCACAAAACTAAGCAAACTTATCACTTACTCATCTATAAAAAAAAGTAAAAGGAAAATGAGCAAACCACAGCTCAGTAAATATATGCTCACACACTTTATCGGATCAAGCATCTTTTTCATACGTATCATATAGATCATTCAAAACATTCATCAAATCATAATATCAAAATACTTCAAAAATCATCGTTTTATCAAATATTTCATAAATTCATAAATTAATATCAAAACATGCCACTTCATAAATCATTGCAAAATATGTTATTATTCAAACATCGTAATCAAACTAAATCATGGATCAATCATTAAAAATCATTGTAACTCATCATCATCATAAATCACCATTATCATTTGTTTATCGTTAGTTACAGTCACTGCTATAACCCGTGACATTGATCATATCAACAATTTCGTCCTCATAATCATTGCTAATTATTATAACCCGCTAACCAAGGCCTTACGTTAACTACTATAACCCATTAGCAGGTTATATAATCATGTTTATGCTAACTACTATAGCCCATTAGCTAGAGCTGGAGAATTAGTTTTGGTATCGATGATCCCACTTTCAAAGATGTAAAAACGTAACTATCATAAAATCATTCTTTAAGCATAAATCATTTTATCATTTCATTCATAAGCATAATCAATCATTTATATAGAGAAACACAAAATAATCATATGCTTAATCTATTTTCATACATCGAAAATAATGAAATAAAACATTCATTCATTTAGAAACATACGTATATACATAGATTTGAAAATAAGCAAAGTATGTAAGATTCTACTTACCTTCTTTCAATTTCACCACCTAATTTTTCTCTCCAAAATAATTAATAGCTTATTCAAGATGATTTCAATATAATAGAAATTAATCAACCCATTTTGAGACCAAAGATACCAAAAACAATTAAGTTAAATAATGGTTAACTAAATTAATTAATATTGGTAGTCTGACCTCCTTTCATTAAAATAACCATATCTTAAGATATGCAACTTAGAATTAAGATCTCTTTAATGCGTCAGAAACTAGATTTGATAGGCTTTCTAACCATATATGGCCTACCTCGTAACTCTTTATAGATTAATTATAACAATTTTTGTAATCCATGTCATATGCTACTAGTAAACAACATGTATACCTTCTAATTAAAATTACACATTTATTCATAAGAAACTTTAATTTCAAATCTGCTTGTTCTGTTGGAAAATAGGCTCAATAAGCTTTCCAAACATATATGGCGTAATCCATAAATCCTTATATAAAAATTAAGACAATTTTCGTAATTCAACCCTAATGTTGTTGTCTTATAGCTTGTATATCCTTAAATAAAATTAGACAACTCTTCGTAGAAAACTCGAATTCGACTTCCATTTATTTCATTAGAAAATATATTCAATACGCTTTCCAACAATATATAATGATCCTAACAATAACATATCCATTGATATAGAATTCTATTTTGATTCACTATTACAGATCATAGCATCTTATCTAATAATAAAATTTCTTCTTTAATATTTAAAAACTCAAACCCCACTTTCAGCCTTTAAACTCCATTCAATAATCATCATTAAATCTTAAAAACATGAAATAAACAAAGCCTAATAATTTATCCAAATAGATCATAAAGATTAATAAAAGATTTCATAATTTTTTTTAGTTTTTTCTCAAAACTTTAATTCCATATAATAGCAATTAACATGATATTTTTTTTAAAATAAAAAGAAAGCATATACTCATATTTAGGAGATTAACTTGATTGTAGTCTCTAATTTTAAATCTTTAATTTAATTTTTTATGCTCTCTAACCCTAAGAAAGATGAAGAAGAAGAACTCTCATTTTTTTTTATTTCATAATAACTAAGTTTTTCTCTGATAAAACACTCAATTATTTTTTTTTAATAATTAACCTCTTAATTAATTTAATGGGCTTTAATAATAGTTTAACCCAATTATATTTGAGCTGAGGTATTTCAACTATAATCTACTATTCTTTCCCTAAAATCAATTTTCTTTTAAAAATTTAAGATCTAAAAGATCCGCGAACCAAAGTAACTATGATCTACTACCCTGTGGCCTGCCTTTCACTCTTGGTTTAGATACTCTTCACTTTCTTTTTGCTTAATTTTGAACCACCTTTTCAGGCAATACTTATTCACCAGTTTCAATCATCTTTAATTAGTAACAAAACTATCTTTTCAACTTTCTATCGATTCATGATTTTAATTTGTGCCTAAAGCATTTATGCTGAGGAAATCCAAAGCTTCAATTTCAGTAGGCATGACATATGACTTTTGAAAATCTTTAATTAAACTTGTATGATATATATATATATATATATATCATACAAGTTTAATTAAAGATTTTCAAAAGTCATATATATATATATATATTTATAAGTTCAATTAAAGATTTTCAAAATTCCTAAGTAAAACTAAATACCAAATAGAGGAAACATGGGATCCGGCTCATCTCCGGTATGATTTAAGTTGGGGAGAACCTTGAGCAAAATGTTGATAAAAATTGGTGGGTTTTCGTTTTGCCTTTGGTAATTTCCCGAGGACTAGCCAGAATTCACATCTCCTCCGGTCATCACAAACCTCTCCACCACCATCCATCGTTGTGGCAATATCACCACCAAAACGCAAATCCCCGCTGTTGCCACCATGAGCATAGCCTCATCTACCTCCACCTCGAAAGATGGTGATGCAACTTAAAAAGGGAAATAAAGCGAATCATTGAACACACATAAATTTTCTATTTCCGTTTTCTTTTTGTTTTGAGATCCATTTCCATTTTCACTTTCAAAAAGATAGTGGCTTACTCCTTGGGGCAATAAACTAAGAGATTATGTTTTATTACTCGAAAATCTCATTCCCATTACACCTTGAACATCGTAGGTATGTACATTTGAATGCTTCAAAGACAAGTACCATCCATTCCAGGATATATATAACTTCCGTACGATATATGTCAATACCCCTTATCCCTAAACAATTTAATCATACTTTTTCCGTCATCACAATATGCTTCAATAGTTGAATTCATTATGAGCTTTAAAAAGGACTTTTTTTTTCTTTTGTACAAAAGAAACCACAGGTACAAAGTATACGTTCAAGAGAAGACTCCTCCAAATAAAATCCCAATGAATACAAGCGCACCAAACCACTTGTCGGACACAAACCTGTAAACAGGAGAAAAAAAATAAAAGAGACAGGACGACAAGCTGAGTACAAATGAAAATAAACATTTAGTCAAAACCAATTCTCCAGATTCTCCACTAGCAGGCATAAAAAAAAAAAAAAAGTTTAAAACCCTTGTGTATTCTAACTTTGTCTATTTACATCCAAAACGGCAGGCAAATAAGATTAACATTGACAAGCAATGCATCCAAAAGACTTCTTAAACCTATCATGCACTTTCTATTGCAATCAGCACGGCATGTTTGATTCATCGTTCATAGATGCAGCAGCCAGAAAGGCATATTATGGCCACCCTGGTCAAACGTAATTTAGAAAACTTGGCAAAACAAAAGGTGATCATAAGCAAACTACATGTTGGCGAAAACTTAAATAGAAGGCAAGCAAATGCCTATATCAGCACTGAATCCACTAAGAGAGACTACTTGTGCATGCAATTCCAAACCCCGCAGTCCACTCCTTAGTTGAATCCCCAAACCTTAAGGCTGTAGATTTAACAGCAACTTTTACATCATCCTCTTTATCCTGAATGAATAGTTAACATCAAAGAAAGTAGCTATCATAGCCAACTGTTTCATACTCCCAACAGAACTTGGAAAACAAAATCTTTAACCCAAATAGATGATGCATCTCACAGAAGATTTTTTTTTTTTTTTTGGGGGGGGGGGTGGTAGAGGAAGGGGGTGGAAGGAAAACAGAAGAAAAAGCAATGTAAACAGGGTTGATTTTATTAACAAATAAAATAGTCTTCTTTTTTGGTCTTACAAACTTACAAATACAGTGAAATATTAGTACCCATATATAAAAAATTCTCCTTTCAATTTATAATTCCATTCTTTTAATATAAAAAGTTAAATAAAAAAAGGCATTGTCAGCTCCACAAATCAACCCATATCTCAAACAGACCTGCCTCAATTGTCATCACAAACCTGTCACCCTACTAACCTCAAGCAGAGTTCAAATGTGAAAAATTAGTAACTATAGTCTAGCTATCCAATATAAAAAAAAATACAACCATCCTCTTTTTCCTAATCATGTATAACTTTGACATATTAAGATTATAAGGCAGAAAAATACAAGTGAAATTGCAAAGAAAAAAGGTGAATGTAAACAAATAAAGTTACCATAGTATCAATATCCCGATTCCCGATCAAGGAGGTCATTGACGGTACAACCAGCACCCTTCAAAAGCAAAGCCCCGAAATCGAATAAAGGCATCATCTTAAAATCAGGACGACACCCAGGTGTTGATGTCAATGTAATTGACCTACAAAAACGTAAAAGAGTTTCATGCCAAAGCAACAAACTTTCAGACAAATTCTAAAACCAAAAGGAGCAAAGATTCGAGGAATAAGAAGAATAGGAAGTCTTTCCATATACAAGGCCAAGCGAGCAACCATTTTCCAATAGGTTTTTCGAGATAAGGTTGAATTCCTCTCGGCAAATAAACGTCAATCTACAACGGAACCTTCGCGTTATCGCTACTAGTACGCCGTTCATCACCTTTACCTAAGCAGTTCGTGACTCCTAAAGAGGTCGATATCCAAGCAATTCCAGGTCTGAAATTTGTTAGGAAAGACAGATATTACTTGGAGACATTGAAATGATGACAGAATTTTCAAAATTGGGAAACAAATGAGAAATTCGAGTGAATGGGTTGCTAAAATGGGGATTCGCAATCGTCGTTGAGGATGATTACGATGAGGAGGAGACAGAGAGTGAAGAAGAGAGAGGCTTTTTGTGAGTTATCCCAATTCTAACTTGGAAAAAATAAAGACCCAAACTCAAGTCATTCTTTTGGAACCAAATTCGAGCTTGAGCTACTCAAACAATGAGTCAAGCAGCAACACACAATTCAAATACTTTAACATCTAACTCGAGTTTTGCAAAGCTAATCTAGTCTAATGAAAATTTTATTTTTTTAATATATTTAATATATAAATAAATATTTAAAATAAAATAAAAAATCACTTATTAATATATATATATATATTATATTGCATCATATAAAAATACTTGATAAAATTTGTTTCATGAACACTTAAACATTATTTTGAACACACGAACAATATTTATTTTACATAATTTAAATTTAAATATCAAAATTTTCAAAAATAAAATTTTACCCAAATTATTTATGATTAATTTCTATGATTTTTTCTTAAAAATAAAAAATCTCAATAAAATTATAATAAAAATATAAAACTTAAAAAAATTAATTTTTTTATTATTTAGAGATTTTTCTTTTTAAATTTAAAATTTTCAAATGAATAATTTTACTTTGATAACCTTATTTATAATCCTTTAATCCGTTTTTTTTATAATTCAAAAACACAAATATCACTTATTATATATTTTTTAAAATTTAAAAGATATTTATAATCAATTTTTTATGATTTGATGCCTTGATTGTAATTCATATTTTTTATACATTTTAAATATTTAAGTAATAAAATAGTATTAATTTATATTTTTACACATTTAAATAAATAAAAATAATCTATACATCATAAGGATAACAAATTAATACAAATATAAAATTAAAAAGTTTTTTTTAATCATTAATTTTAATAAATTTAAAAATAAGGAAAGGGATAAATGAAAAATAAAATTAATCTCATCTTTTAAATTTATTAAAATCAATAATTAAAAAAATATAAAAATTTTAATATAAATTGATCTATTCCAAAATATAATATTTGGCATTAATATTTACAATCTTACATAACTTAATCTAACTTAACAAGTCAAATTCGAACCACTCAATTAAATTACAAAATGAATTCGGACATGAAAAATAAAGCTCAATTGAGATTAAGTCTACTTCAAATCCTGAGTTTTTGAGTGCCCTTCACCGACATATCTTTTGCGGGAAAAGAAAAGAGAAAACGAAATGTTTTATGGGGTAAGAAACACTCCAGGCACGAAAATATTACAGTAACTAAATAAGATATCAATTGCAAATTTTTCTTCTATATATCAAAGACTAGTGTTAACAAAAGCCCGTATGGTGAAGAAACAATATATTCCAGAAACAAATCTTGAATAAATCAGTAGCTCGCTATGGCAATCGCATTACCACAACCTAGCCAATATTTTGCTGTTCTCTTTCATGTCTAGATAAAATTTAACAGCACCAATGTCTCCATTGCAGATTAAAGTTCAGAAAATCATTTATCATCTCAACTTCATTGAAGCAAATGAAGTCGCCAAATCCATGGCCTCTTTAACGTGTGAGGCATCCGTTCCCTGCAATGAAACATACATTCCATTAACTCAAATATAACAAATATGCAACTGGATCGAAGACTCAAGTGATAACAATCCAAACATTCCTCACAGCAACTGAATTTTTAACCACCAAGTTACCAACCTGTCCTGTAGCCAAACCACCCTTGCCTCTACCACACCTCCCCTTTAGAGGCCCAAGCGCATTTGTCAACCACTCTGACACTTCCAATAGCTTGCTCTGTTCAGATTTCAGTGGTACACCAGCATAAACAATAGCCTTGTTTATGGTTTCATCAATACTGAAAACCATAACTGGTATTCCCTGTTCGTTACATGCCAGCATTTAGCACAAATGTGTGAAACAAACTTTGATAAAAGACTTGATTAATTGAAAAAAGAATAGGTCAGAATTAGCTAGAAACCTTCTGCTGAATAACTTTAGAAACTGCTTCACGAAGAGCAGCTGCATCTAAACCAACATCAATACGGGAGACACAGAAGGTCTTTCCCTCTGAGGCAGCAACTTCAGCCATTTCAGTTGCTATTGTGACAGCTTTCTCCATATTTTGTTCAGCAATCTTCTTTTGTGCCTTTTTCAGTTCATTCTGATAAAACAAACCAATTTAAAAGGATCTATATATGTGAGTAATTCAGATCGAATACACTTATTTTTCAAAAGATTCATATCATCAAATCTATCCATTCCAACTTTCATTCCAATCAAATGATCCAAAGCTGCCGATATATCTTGCAGTAACAAAAATGTATTGTTCTGAGATATCATAAGATTCAGTCTCTAGTTCCATATTTCATCGACCAATGCTTCCTCATTCACATCTTTGCTAAAAGAAATCATTTTGTAATTCCTTACACAAGGATGCAGAAAATACCAGATCCCCACCCACACAAGAAAATTGTTGATGGAACTCCAAAATGGCATTTTCTTTTGACCCAAATATTTTTTCCTTATCGGTCAGGAAAGACAAGAAAATTTCAGTGTAGCAAACATTCTCTAGAATTTCTCTTAGATTCGAACCAACACACATTAACGGACACCAAGAAAAGGTTTACTGTTACAAACAACTAAACAAGGAGATTAAATCTGGAATATTGTTGCTCAAATCTAAGATCAAACATGACTATTTGTTTGAAGCAGGCACATTAAATCTGGCATTTACAAGCATTTAAAAGGTCATATCCTCATATCCACATCTCTACTTTCAAGCATCTACTCTGGGTCTACCACACATATATTAGTGAAAATAAAAAGTCAGAGCAAACGGTGATAATAACTAAATTTGATGGTGTTGCAAAGTCTTATTTAGATCAGCTTCAATACCTGAAGTTGCACGATCTTGCCCCTAATATCAGCTTTCTTGGCAGCAGGAATTGATGCAGAATCCACACTAGTTTTTAAAGAAGCCACTTTCTGTAAAGATGAAAAATAAAATTTTCAAAGTGGAAGGAAAATATGGTATGATACTCCTTCTAGAAGGATATTTTTGTTTCACAAAAAAAATGACCTGTTAATGGTATGAAATCACCCTCTAAATGAGACAAAAAGGAGAGACTAAGCATTTTACCCTCTATAACAGTTAGCTAGTTTTGTATAAAAGATGCACATAACAGTTGCACAATATGTATGAGAATGCACAAGCAAGCAGGAGATGTATATCCACTAGACTGCTACATGAACAACCTAATAAATTTTTTAAAAGTATTACTGCGTGACAATGGGGCTCTAAAATTTGAAAATATACATGATCCAACCATGACAAACTAGTGAAGCAAATTTATATGGCTTTTTCCTGTTCAGGTGGAGAGCAAGAGAGAGCAGAGAGAACCACAATCATAAGAAAATTGAAAACTAAATGCCCAAGAAAATGCCCTAAGACAAAAGTTCAGGAAAAATTGCAATAAGATGAACTGGAAACACATCATTAAGATACATGAAGACAAAAACCATAGAAATCACCTACCCTAAAGCATAACAATAAGATTAATATATCAACTTAAAACAAAAAAAAAAAAGATAAAGTCATTGATAATACGAACTTTCAAGCATTAAAAAGTCTTAGAGACCCAGGTAGAGAAACAAACCTTCTCCAGCAAGCTTACTTCCATCTTGGATGCATCATTGACTTCCTGCAAAAGCAGGTCACCCAATTCCATTGCCTTCAAAGCACTCTCAGTAGTGACAGCAGTTATTCTTCGAACTCCTTTAGCAATTCCCTCCTCAGATAAAAGAGCAAATGCTTTTGCTTCCCGTGTATTTGTTACGTGTGTACCTATAAACATCCTTGAAGTCAACTTCAACACAAAATTCAAAGCAAGGCTTCTAATGAAGTCATTCAAATAAATAAATTAACCTCCACATAGTTCTGCTGAAATTGATGACCATTCATTGTTTTCTGGATCAGCAAGTAGGTCCTCCACTTTTTGACCAATTGCCACTACTCTAACTGGATCAGGATAAACCTGCATTGTAAACATAACACAACATAACTTCTAGAAGGAACATGCAAAGCCAAATTATAAAGCTATAATAAAGAAAATGTTTAAGATTACTTCTCCAAAGACAGCTCGCAAACCATTGATTCGCTTGGCTTCAGCAAGCGTTGCCTCCTTCGAGTATACATCTAACTCAGCTTTTATTTGCTCATTCACAATAGACTCAATTTTTCTCAAGTGGTCAGCATTGATAATACCATCTCTGTTTGGATCTGATAACATTTGATCAAATTTTAGCAACAACTTAAACCACATTGCAAACTAAATGGTATAATAAATGAGGTGCTGTTTGATAAACCGAAAAAATTCAACGCCAAAAAATTTAGTATTGAATTTTTATTTCTAAAAAATTTAAGTACAGAATTTATGATATAAAAATTGGTTAGTATGCTACTAAAAATTAAATGTTGAGTAAATTTTGTATTGAATCTTTTGTAAAAGAGATGTGATTGTATAAGCATTTTGCATTGGTAAAAGATAAAAAGAAAATAAAATAAAAGATTAATGTAATTTAAAACATATTTTTCCATAAATCAAATTGACTGACTACAATAAGTAGCTAAAAGTTACTTAAGATTGTCAAGACTTTTATATTGAAAATCTTCCATTGAGTGATTTCTAAAAATGAACCACCAAAGACCCCGAATTTAACTTAGTTGATTCATGTAGTCACCCTTAAGAGATAGCATCCAGGTCTGGGGTTCAAACCCAACACTTGCAATCCCTTCCTCTATCCCTAGAGTATAGCTTCTTTTGTACCAAAAAAATGAATCATCAAAGGCATTGATAGAATAAATCAGTGAGAATTTTAATTTTCAATGGCCTAAAAATTTCCAACGGTTTATAAAACACATCCGGAGTTAAATCTTACCATGAGAAAAATCAAATCTCAATTTTTCAGGAAGAACAATGGACCCCTTCTGGTCAACATGATTGCCAAGCACTTCCTGCATTCAAATTGTGAGGAAATGAAACATGGAAAAGTAAAAAGAAATATAACAATAATAACAAAAAGGAGTGCAGAGTTATGAACATCAGCATATTAAGTTGTACCCTGAGAGCAAAGTTCAACATATGTGTGCAAGTATGGTTGGGAGCAATCAATTTACGCCTATCATAGTCAACCTGCAGAAATGATTGGAAT